CCACTGCAGCCTTGACCTGCTGGGCTCCGGTGATCCTTCCGCCTCCGCCTTCCAAGTAGCCAGAATGACAGGCACGTGCTACCACACCTGGGTAATTTTTGATTTATTGTAGAGACGACGTCTTGCCAAGTTGCCCAGGCAGGTCTCGAACCCGCGGGCTCAGGCAATCCACTCACCTCAGCCTCCGAAAGCACGGGATTACAGGCTGAGCCACTGAGCCCGGCAGTGGCCAGAATTTCAATGAGGGTCACAGGGCAGTGGTGACCTACAGACACAGGCCCCACTCTGTGCAACTGACAGCCAGTGTGAGAGGTGTGTGTTGCACAAAAAGACAGTAAGCAAATATCTGATGGTCTTGTGACTAGGCTTGGTAGGAGAGGAGTCCAGTGCCAGGAGCATGGGTAACAGCTGGGGTTGGGTCAAGGGAGGCTTCTCTGAGGAGGTGACACTTAAGTAAGGAGAGGTACAAGGAGGGGGGGAGGCTCTGAGAATTTATAAGCCCAGGCCTATTTTCACAGAGTGTTTGGGATTTTAATTTACACTTTCCTAAACAATCTGGGCCCCCCCCCAACTGAGAAAAAAAAAAAGAAGTAAATAGTGGGTTCATGACAGCTTAGGGAGTCTTGCAGAATCTAGCACTCTGGAACCTTCAACCCGTTGTCACAGAATTCCCATAGGGGGAGCCCCAATAAATGAGCTTACGATCCACAATTACAAAACCCAGAAGAAATGCTGCACCATGAGCGAGAGTCATTTGACCTAGCAAATGCTTGACCTGGACTCTCAGGAGGTTCACATAATAGAACTATCTTGTAGAGAGGCCAGGCATAGTGGCTCACACCTGTAATCCCAACACTTCTGGAGACTAAGGTGGGAGGATCACTTGAGCCCAGGAGTTTGAGACCAGCCTGGGCATCATAGTGAGACGTGTCTCTAAAAACAAAAAAACAAAAAAAATAGCTGGGCATGGTGGCATACTAAGTAGGTGCTCATTAAATGTCAAATTCATGAATGTATGTGCACTATTGTCACCCGCCCCTCCTCCATCAGATTGTTCCTCCCTCCTTCCCCGTCCTCCCTCAGTCATCCGATGCCCGGTGCTCACTAGCCCTCCCCACCAGGTGCACGAGCTGGAGCGAGCCCGCCGGGTGGCAGAACAGTCAGCCAGCGAACTGCGGGCGCAGGTGACGGAACTGGAGGACGAGCTGACAGCGGCTGAGGATGCCAAACTGCGTCTGGAGGTGACCGTGCAGGCGCTCAAGACGCAGCACGAGCGTGACCTGCAGGGCCGTGACGAGGCTGGTGAGGAGAGGCGGAGGCAGCTGGCCAAGCAGGTACTGGCAGGCGGGAGGCTGCGGGGCTGCGGCGAGGTGGGTCCAGGCAGTGGGAGGGGCAGTGAGGGTCGTGTCCACCCACCTCCTGCTTGGTGTTTCTCCAAGAGTCTCCCCTGCTAGCCAACCATCTTCCTGCAAACCCACCTTCCCATTCCCCAGTCTGTTAACCTACTGCAACCGACGAACCCACACCCATATCCTGTTGGCCTTTTTTTTCTTTGAGTCTGGGGTATCGCTTTGTTGTCTAGACTGGAGTGCAGCGGCGTGATCACGATGATCACGGCTCACAGCAGGTTCGACCTCATGGTCTCAAGCAATCGTCCCACCTCAGCCTCCCAAGTAGCTGTGACTACAGGCACACACCACCATGTCCGGCTTGTTTTTTTATTTTTTGTATAGATGAAGTCTCGTTATGCTGCCCAGGCAGGTCTCAAACTCTTGGGCTCCAGCGATCCTCCAGCCTCAGCCTCCCAAAGTGCTGGGATTCCAGGCGTGAGCCATCGTGCCTGGCCCTGACATACCCCCTCCTCCCTCCTCCCTCCAACAAATGGTTCACCCACCCACCTGCCACCCCATCTATTCAGCCACCCAACCACCCGGATAAGCCTCTCACTGTGCAACCCTGTGTCCAGCTACCCCTCTGTCCACCGGCTACCCCCTTCCCACCAATCTCCTCTCTCAGCCCACCCCCTCCTGTGCTAACCAGCCCTCGCCCCCCATGCCCCCAGCCTCCTCACTGCCTCGGTGACAGGCCCATCCGCCCGCCCTTTCATCTGCATTCTCACTCCCTCGTAGTTGAGAGGGTCCCTCTTTCTCTGTTCCATGCACTCTCCCTCTCTGCTGCTGTTCGTTCATTCGTTCCTCATTCAGTCCAGGAAGTTCCCATGTCCGCCCTCTAGGAGGTGACCCTGGGGGGGGCGGGGCAGCTCCGGGTGTCAGAGAGACCCCTCCCGGCCATGTGGCCAAAACAGACTTCACAAGGCATGCTAGAAGCACCTGTATAGAGAGAAATAGGTGACCCCAGGCCGGGGGTCTCGATAATATTTGTCTCTACTAGACCCTTTGCCCCAGCCATGGTTGGGTGTCCAAGACTTGGCCTTGAGGGCACCGGGGAGCCAAGGGAGGGCTGTGAGAAGGGTCGGCTCCGGGTGTACAAAGATCCTTCCGGGAGCGTGTTAGAATGGGCTCGAGGGGCGAGATGGGAGGCCGGAAAAGGAGGCCTGGGCCAGAGGGAGGAGGAGGCCCGAGCGCGTCCGATGAGAGGGAGGGGAGGGCGCCGGGTGGGGAGAACCAGGGAGCAGAAGGACCGGGGCTCGCGGCCTGGGCGGGGCTCCCCGGTAGACATCCATGCCCCCAGCATGGAGGAGGGAGCCTGGGCGTCCAGTGCCCTGACCCGGCCTTCCCGGCCTCCCCCAGCTGAGGGATGCGGAGGTGGAGCGGGATGAGGAACGGAAGCAGCGGGCCCAGGCCGTGGCCGCCCGCAAGAAGCTGGAGGCGGAGCTGGAAGAGCTGAAGGCCCAGATGGCGGCCGCCGGGCAGGGCAAGGAGGAGGCGGTGAAGCAGCTTCGCAAGATGCAGGTGAGGGCGGGGCCGAGCGGGGAGGGGCGGGGCTCGAAGCCCCAGCCTCACTCCTGGTCGGGGCGGGGCTGAACGGGGAGGGGCGTGGCTTGGAGCCCACCCTCGTCGAGGTGGGGGCGGGGCCAAGTGGGGGGGGCGGGGCTTGGAGTCTCTCTCCAGGTAGGGGCGGGGCGGGGTGGGAAGGGGCGTGGCTTGGAGCCCCAGCCTCACTCCTGGTAGGGGCGGGGCCGAGCAGAGAGGGTTGTGACTTGGAGCCCCCACCACCCCTCCTGGTATGGGCAGGGCCGAGGGGGGAGAGGGGGCGTGGCTTGGCGCCCCACCCTCACTTGTTAGGGGCGGGGTCCAGCAGGGAGGGGCGTGCCTTGGAGTCTGCCCTCTCTCCAGGATCTGGAGAGCTGCTTGACCTGTCCTCTCCTCCCTGCAAGCAGTGTCCAAATGAGTCAGCATTTTACAAACATCCATGTCCCAAAAGCTCACTTGTTTCTTGTGTTTTTTAATATTCTTTATTTAAGATGCTGGATTTTAAGTCCAATTTTCTCATTTTATTTTGTTTCTGAAATGAAAATACCTATTTTTAAAAAATCTGATTATGAAAGTTATACCTGGCCGGGCACGGTGGCTCACACCTGTAATCCCAGCACTTTAAGAGGCCGAGGTGAGAGGATAACTTAAGGCCAGGAGTTCAAGTCCATCCTGGTCTCTATAAAAAGCAATTACAATTAACCGAGTGCAGTGGTGCACATCTGTAGTCCCAACTACTCAGGAGGCTGAGGCAGAAGGATGGCTTGAGCCCTGGATTTCGAGGCTGCAGTGAGCTATGATCGCATTCCTGCCTGGGTGACAGAGCAAGACCCTGTCTCTATTTTTATTTCGTTACTTTTTTCTTTTCTTTTCTTTTTAAGTGAGAAAGCAGGATTTATTGAGAGGACAGAGAAGCTCCCACAGGGGGAGGGAACCTGAAGGGGTTGCTCATATATTTTTTTTGAGTCAGAGTCTCACTCTGTCACTCAGGCTGGAGTACAGTGGCACACTCACAGTCACCACAGCCTTGACTTGCTGGGCTCAGGTGTTCCTTCTGGCTCAGCCTTCCAAGTAGCTGGAACTACAGGCACGTACCACCACACCTGGCTTTTTTTTTTTTTTAATTGTAGAGACACGGTCTTGCTAAGTTGCCCAGGCTGGTCGAACCCCTGAGCTCAGGCAATCCTCTTGCCTTAGCCTCCCAAAGTGTTGGAATTACAGGCATGAGTCATTGTGCCCAGCTCCATTTTAAAAATAAATAAATAACAGTAATGAGAATCATCCTATCACTGCCAATGCCACTGCCGTCCCCATTGTCATGATTAACAGCTTCACCGTGTTCCTCTAAAAATGTAGAGTGGTTTTTGAGTGGTGATGGGTATTTAGGAGTTTTTTTTCTTTTTAGCACTTTTGAGAACAAAACCCTTATACTGGCATCTTTACACACTCCCAGAAGTAGGGTGCTGAACACAGAAATCCCGGGGTTAGCAGCCTGGCTTCAAATGCTGGCCTGACACCACCTGGGCATGCTAACCTCTCCATGCCTCAGTTTCTCCGTCTGCACACTGGGAGGGATCAACATCCCCACCAACTGGAGTTGTAGCATGGAGGGAGTTGGCAGTGTATCTAGCAGGTCCCGACCCAAGGTAAATGATCAGTAAGCATTTTCATCATTATTACTGCAGACTCCAAATATTATACCCCCATTTAAGGCTTATTTTAATTTAAGGTTTTTCTGAAGGGGACGCAGCCAGCTGAGGCCCAGAGAGGGGCGGTGGCTGGCCCAGAGTCACACAGCAAGGTTATGTCCGAGTTATGATTCAAGCCCAGGTCTGGTGACCCGTAACCAGGCTCCTTTAGATGCCCAGCTGACGTTTAAGCTCAGCCAGGCCGACCCCTGATTTTCAGTTGAGGACCAGAGCGGGAGGGCCTGGCCGAACGTGGGAGCTCAGGTTGTTCACGAGACTGCGGAGCCCCGCGGGGCCCGGGCAAGGGTTGGGGATCCTTGGGAAGTACCAGGCCGAGCCTGCTCGCCCGTTCCGCTCTGCCCAGGCCCAGGTGAAGGAGCTATGGCGCGAGGTGGAGGAGCTGCGCGGCTCCAAGGAGGAGACCTCCGCCCAGAGCCGGGAGAGAGAGAAGTGCTTCAAGGGGCTGGAGGCGGAGGTGCTGCGGCTGCAGGAGGTGAGGCGGGGTGGGCTGGGCCCTGGGATGCCCCGTCGGGGAGCTGGGTAGGGTGAAGCTGGGGAGATGGGCGGGGCTCACCCTGGGTCTGAGGCTGGGGAGGTGGGCGGGGCTTACCCTGGGTCTCCGGGGGTTAGACGGGAAGGTGGGCGGGGCTAACCACAGGGTCCCAGAGGTGTGAGGCTGGGGTTGGGCGGGGCTATCCCTGGGTTTCCTGGGTGTTAGATTGGGGAGGTGGGCGGGGCTAGCCGCAAGGTCCCTGGTGTGTCAGGCTAGAGGGGTGGACGGGCTAATCCTGGGTCTCCTGGGAATGAGGCTGGGGAGGGGGGCGGGGCTAACCATGTGGCCCCAGGGATGCAAGCCTGGGGGGATGGGGCTAACCCCATCGCCCCTGGGATATGAGACTGAGCAAAAGCCACATGAACTTTGGGTGATGAGGATGGGGAGGTGGGCAGAGCTAACCAACATGCCCCAGGGATGTGAGGCCAGGGAGGTGGGCTAGGCCAGCCACATGTCCCCTGGAGTATGAGGCTGGGGAGGTGGACAGGGCTAACCACGTGGCCCCAGGGATGTGAGGTTGGGGAGGTGGGCAATGCTAACCCTGTGGCCTCCAAAGCCAGCCTGAGGGGCAGGGGTTTTGTCCCAGGGGCACTAGGGAGCTGTGGGAAGAATCTGAGCAGCCGAGAGACAGGGTCAGCTCTGTCAGGGGTGAACTGTAGTGGGGAGATTGGAGGCAAGGAGGCTGGGGTGAGAGAGGGCCCTGAGCCTGGGGCTGCAGAGAACAAAGCAGAGTCAGAGGACAGGAGGTAGGCGCCTGGGTGTGATATGGGGGGGCGCAGGAGAGCCCCAGGGGTCTGCCCCTGACCAGGGAACCAGAGGAGGGGCAGGCTTGAAAGGAGACTCTGGGCTGCGAAGGAGCCAGGAGGGTGGGGGCCTGGGGTCTGGCAGCTAGAGGAACACAGATCACGGGCTCAGGAGGCAGATTTCGGAGGCATCTGCAGATTCAAGTTCATTCCAAGGTTACCCAGGGACCACACATCTGTACTCAGTGAAAAAAAGGCCAAGAGACTCGAGGTGTGCTGGGCAGGGAGGGCTGAGACCAGTGCCCAACCCCCCGGCCACCCCCCTCTGTCATCGCAGGAACTGGCCGCCCATATCACGCCCGGCGGCAGGCCCAGCAGGACCGGGACGAGATGGCAGACGAGGTGGCCAACGGAAACCTTAGCAAGTAAGTGGCCTGTAGTCATGTGAGGTAGGGCGCTGTTTTCTGGCCATCCTGCCCTCTCCCCATCACCCCTACCCGTCTCTCTAGGGCAGCCATTCTTGAGGAGAAGCGTCAGCTGGAAGGGCGTCTTGGGCAATTGGAAGAGGAGTTGGAGGAAGAACAGAGCAATGCTGAGCTGCTCAATGACCGTTACCGCAAGCTGCTGCTGCAGGTGAGCATGGGGGGCACCCCCGGCCAGCCCGGGTCCCCGCTGACCTGGAACAATAACCTACAGTCCTCTTAGGCAGCAAATATAAAAAAGGGGGTATTTGAATTGGGTTTTGAAGGATGAGTAGGAGTTCTTAAGGGGAGAAAGGCATGATACATTGATTCACTTGTATTTCTGAGATTTCTCAAGGGCTGGACCCAAAGATGGGTTATTAGGGTCTCTGTCCTATGGTATTTCCTGGAGAAAATAGTCATGGGGCTATACTGTCATATTGATGCGGGTGGGATGTGGTCTTTTGCTCCATGGGTTCTTGAACGTGCCACAGAAAAGAATTTCAGAGCGAATCCAAAATATAGTTAAATAATCATTTATTAGAAAGAAAAAGGCATGCTAGAGGAAGACATGGGTCCCTTAAGAGAAAGGGCACGTGCTTGCCTTTGACAAGAAGCTTTATATCATTTTATAATTGTGATTAAGCAAACCATGAGCCAAGAGGGGTGGGCTACAGGTGTCTGGTCATGAGTTCTGATGACCATCTCTCCACCTTCTAAGGTCACAAGGATCCTCTAAATAATGAAAGTTATGGCTTTCTTATTTGTTATAACATTATGTCTTGTGTTTTGGGTAACTCTCTATTGTTTCTGTGATTTCCTGCACCGGTAGATCCACATTTCAGCCTGCAAGGTGGTTGGGTCTGGCATGCCTGGTTGGTCAGGTGAAAGTTGTGTACCCATAAGAAAGATGTCCAGCCAGGCTCAGTGGCTCATGCCTGTCATCCCAGCACTTTGGGAGGTGGAGGCGAGAGGATTGCCTGAGCTCACGGGTTTGAGACCAGCCTGGGTGGGCAACTTGGCGAGACCTCGCCTCTACAATAAATCAAAAATTAGCTGTGTGTGGTGTCATGTGCCTGTAGTCCCAACTACTTGGAAGGCTGAGGCTGGAGTTTGCCCGAGCCCAGCAGGTCGAGGCTGCAATGGCCATGAGTGTGCCACTGCGCTCCAGCCTGGGAGACAGAGTGAGATTACAACTCAGAATAAAAACAAAAACAAAACTCAAGCTCAAGGAGGTGAATCCTGTAAAATTTGGAGTACCATGCAGTTTTGGGGAAGGAAGGAGTTGTTGGGTTGGTGTGTGAAGTGGCTTCTGGAGTGATGTCTGCCTTTTATGAACTCATGAAGCCTTCCATTAATTCATGTTTGTCTTTCTGTGTCACCTTTTATTTTACTCTAAAAAGTGTTTTTTTAGAGAGAGAATATGCTAATGACCACGTGGATGGGTTCCCGGGAGGGTGAAGTGACATAAAGAGTGAGTCACACCGGGTCTGACTCACTTCCGTGTCCCCCGCATCGGACTCACTCTTGGGGACAAGCTGAATCAATACCCAGGAACGCTGACTGGGGGTGTGTTTGCCGATTTCCAGTGTAGTAGCTCTGTCGCTGGAGGTGGTGTTTCTCAAAATGGTCCCGCATGTCACTCCCTTCCCAACCAATGGAGGTGCTTGTATAGAAATGCGTGTTTGGCCAGGTGCGGTGACGCACGCCTGGAGTCCCAGCTACTTGGGAGGCCGAGGCGAGTGGATTGCCTGAGCCCGTGGGTTTGACACCAGCCCAGGTGACTTGGCGAGCCCTCGTCTCTACAATCAATCAATCAATCAATAGCCGGACACGGTAGTGTGTGCCTGTGGTTCCAGCTACTTGGAGAGCTGAGGTGGAAGGATCGCCGGCCCCCAGTGGGTGGAGGCTGCGGTGGCCATGAACATGCCACTGCACTCCAGCCTGGGCGCCAAGAGTGAGACTCTAACTCAAATAAATAAATAAATTTAATTTAATTTAATTTTTGGAAACTATCCCAAAAGTTAAAACTCAGTGAACTCAGTGCTGGCCATGCTGTTGGGTGATAAGTCAAGAACTGAAAATACAGGCTGATGATTGCTGAGTATTTAGTATGTATGGGACTCTGTGCTATGCATGTAACAACCATCAGTTCTGCTGGGCGTGGTGGCTCACACCTGTCATCCCAACACTTGGGGAGGTGGAGGCAAGAGGATTGCCAGAGTCCAGGGATTCAAGACCAGCCTGGGCAACTTGGTGAGACCTCATCTCTACCATAAATCAAAAAATGAGCTGGGCATGTTGGCACGCGCCTGTGGTTCCAGTTACTTGGAAGGCTGAGGTGGAAGGATCGGGAGCCCAGCAGGTCACGGCTGCAGTGGCCATGAGCATGCCACTGCACTCCAGCCTGGGTGACAGAGACTCTGACTCAAAAACAAATAAATAAAAAATCAGCCATCCACTCACTTAGTTTTGGATTTACCTGCCACCTCCCCTCTGAGACTCTACTGTGACGTCCTTCCTTCCCCACCTGCTGCAGGTGGAGTCACTGACCACAGAGTTGTCCGCTGAGCGCAGTTTCTCAGCCAAGGCAGAGAGCGGGCGGCAGCAGCTGGAACGGCAGATCCAAGAGCTACGGGGACGCCTGGGTGAGGAGGACGCTGGGGCCCGGGCCCGCCAGAAGATGGTCATTGCCGCCCTTGAGTCCAAGTTGGCCCAGGCTGAGGAACAGCTGGAGCAGGAGAGCAGGTAGGTGAGAGTAGAGACCCCCACATTCTGGTCTGTAAGGAGAAGAGGAGCTGTGTTACAGTCACCTGGTTTAGAAACACTCAAAACGTATCAAAATATTAATGATCACTGATTTCCTGTGTCATTTAGGATGCTTTAGGCTGCAAGCAACTGCTATCTCACTAGTACAATTCACACAATAATGTATCAGTTAGCTATAGCCGTGTAACAAGCCACCCTAAAACTTTGTGGCTTAAAACAACCACCATTCCTTATTTCTCATGAGTCTTTGGGCTGGCTAGTAAGTTCTGCTGCTCTGGGCTTGGTGGACCTCACTCTGCATCTCCATTCAGTGGAGGGTCAGCTAGGTGGATTTGCTGATCTTGGCAGGGCTTGCGTAAGCCTAAGACCTTGCCTAGGACAACCAGGCAAACTGGTCTCTGCTCCATAGGGCCTCTCATCCCCCAGCAGGCGAGCCTGGGATTGTTCAGATGGCAGAGTCAAGGTGCCAAGGGGGAGGGCAAGTTACGGGTTTCTGGAGGCCTACAGTTGGAACTGGTACTGGGTCATCTCTGCTGCATCCTGTTAATCAAAGCAAGGCATGTGGCCAATGCACGTCCAAAGGAATGTGGAAACAGATGTCACTGCTTGATGGGAGAAGCTGTAAAGTCATGTTACGAAGAGAGTGAGGATTTGGACTATATTTCCCATCCATCTAGTGCAAAGAGGAATGTTTTTCTTTCTTCTTTTTTTTTTGAGTTGGAGTCTTACTCTAGCCCAGACTGGAGTGCAGTGGCATGTTCACAGCCACTGCTGCCTCGACCTGCTGGGCTCAGGCGATCTCCAGCCTCAGCCCTCCAAGTAGCTGGAACTACAGGCATGCGCCACCACACCCAGCTCATTTTTTGATTTATTGTAGAGGTGATGTCTCGCCAAGTTGCCCAGGCTGTTCTTGAACCCCTGGGCTCAGGCAGTCCTCTCACCTCGGCCTCCCAAAGTGCTGGGATGTCAGGCGTGAGCCACTGTACCTGGCCTAAAACAATTTTTTGAGTGTACTGTATACCCTCCCATGTGTGGGTCACTGGAGAAATTATGAAGAATTAGATGTGCCATGTTCCTGCCCCCATGGAGGGAATGGTCTGGGAGGATTCCCTACCTGAACTAGACTCAGGACTTGCCTTTGTCACCAAGCCTCCGCACGTCCCTCCTTTCAGACCCAGATCTGTCCCCTGACCCCAAGAGGAGAAAGATTCATGGCATCAAAAGCCTGTGAGCTAGGAGGAGGGGAGGCAGGGGGTACAGATGATGGAAAAGCTAGATCAGCCTGAGATAGGATAGCTTGGGAGGGGTTTCTAAAGGAGGAAGAAGGCCAGGCACAACGGCTCACACCTGTTATCCTAGCACTTTGGGAGGCCAAGGCAGGAGGACTGCTTGAGCCCAGGAGTTTGAGACCAGCCTGAGCAACATAGTGAGACCTCATCTCTACTAAAAAAAAAATTAGCCAGGCATGGTGGCATGCATCTTTAGGTCCAGCCACTTGGGAGGCCAAGGCAGGAGGATCGCCTAAGCCCCAGAGGTCAAGGCTGTGGTGAACCGTAATCATGCCACTGCGTGCCAGCCTGGGCCACAGAATGAGACGCTGATTCAAAAACTTAAATAAATAAAATAAGAGACTCAAAGAAAGGCTGGATAGTTGAGGTTTAAACACCCATGATGAGCCGGGCGCAGTGGCTCAGCCTGTCATCCCGGCACTTTTGGAGGCCATGGCGAGAAGACTGCCTGAGCCTGGGGGTTTGAGACCAGCCTGGGCGACTAGGTGAGACCTAGTCTCTACAGTAAATCACACACACACACACACACACTAGCTGGGCATAGTGGCATGCGTCTGTACTTCCAGCTACTTGGAAGGTTGAGGCGGAAGGATCGCCTAAGCCCAGCAGGTTGAGGCTGTGGGGGCCGTGAGTGTTCCACTGCACTCCAGCCTGAGCGACAAGAGTGAGACTCCAACTCAAAAAAAACCCCAAGATCTTCCTAGGGGAGAGGGATGGGGATGTGGGCAATCGTGAGGGATAGGAAATGACTTTCAAAAGAAGTGAATGGGCCCAAAGAGCAGGCAGCAGTTTGCAGATGATTCTCTTTAGAAACCAAATGGGACTAAATCTATATTTTGTACCTCACCATAACACAGGGGACTTTTATTTTCTTCCTTGAGTCAGAGTCTCACTCTGTTGCCCAGGCTGGAGTGCAGTGGCATGCTCACTGCCACTGCAGCCTTGACCTGCTAGGCTCAGATGATCCTTCTGCCTCAGCCTTCCAAGTGGCTGGAACTACAAGTGCGCGCCACCATACCCAGCTAATTTTTTGATTTGTTGTAGAAATTAGGTCTTGCCAAGTTTCCCAGGCTGGTCTCAAACCCATGGACTCAGGCAATCCTCTCACCTTGGCCTCCCAAAGTGCTGGGATGACAGGCATGAGCCACTGCCCCCAGCTCACAGGGGACGTTTTTAGGAACCTCAGGCCCTGGAGAAGCCAAGAATGCAGATGCCCTGGGGAAGGGAGCCTGGGTGTCAGTATCTGGCCTGAAAAGACTGTGGAAGCTGGTTGTGGAGTAGGAAAGAGGGAAGAGGCCAGTCCAAGAACTGGATAAGGCTGTGTGGATAAGAACCCCAGGTTATGGGCCTCTACTGAGCCTCCACCCCATCCGTCTCTTCAGAGAGCGCATCCTCTCCGGCAAGCTGGTCCGCAGGGCTGAGAAGCGGCTTAAAGAGGTGGTGCTGCAGGTAGAGGAGGAGAGGAGGGTGGCTGACCAGCTCCGGGACCAGGTAAGCAGCGGACATCATTAGGGAGGGGTGGGGAGTGGGACCAACGGCTGAGAAATAGCACAGGTCGCCAATGGAGGTCATGAGCTCCCATCACAAGAAGCAGCTTGCGGGTACTGCACTGGAACTGAGTGCGGATATCATTCTGGGACCAGGCACATCTACAGAGCCTTGGAATCAGTAACTTTGCAGTCCGTATAACATTCTGGCATCTAGCAAGTCCATGGTACAGAGTACAGCAGCCTGGGTGAGGGAAGAAGTTTCCTATGCAGAAGCGAGACCAGGATTAAAATAACAACAGATAATGTTTATTGAGTGCTTTTCAGATAACAGGCACCATCTTAAAGATGTAACACTTAGTACATTTAATTCTTATCAGAACCCTATGAGGTATGGGCTACTATTTCCCCTTTTATTTGGGTGAGGAAATGAAGGCACGGAAAGGTGAGGCAACTTGCTCAAAATTGTTTAACTAGTAAGAGGTGACGTTGGGGTTCAAACCTCAGCACTCTAGCCCCAGAGTCTGTGCTGCTAATTATTTACTGTGTCACAAGCAACTGCTTTTTAAAAAATACACACTAAGGCCAAGCTCGGTGGCTCAGCCTGTAACCCTGCCTGAGCCTGTAGGTTCGAGACCAGCATGGGCAACTTGGCGAGACCTCATCTCTATAATAAAAAAAAAGTAGCCAGGCGTGGTAGTGCACACCCGTAGTTCTGGCTTCATGTAAGGCTGAGGCGGAAGTATCCCTGGAGCCCAGCAGGTTGACGCTGGGATGGCCATGAGTGTGCCATGCACTCTAGCCTGGGTGACAGAGTGACACTCTGACTCAAAAAAAATTTAGAAATTAAAAATAATTGCACACTGCATTTTCTCACTAGCCCTATTTCACAGGTGAGAAAACTGAAACTTTAAGAGAAGATGTAATTGAGTCCCAGTGCCCTTAAAAGCTCAGCTATGCTTTGTTCGCTATTCACTCCACAATTGTTGAGCACCCATTAGATGCCAGGCACTGTGGTAGGCATTAAGGATATGGATGTTCATGAGACAAGAGGGCCCTGCCTTCGTGGAGCTTACGTTTTCAGCCTAGGAAAACACATAGGAAACCCTTAAACAAGTAGATAGTGACAAGACCTATGAAGAAACAACAAAATGAGGAGAGAGGAAGACACAGAACTCTGAGGAGGTGACGTTTAAATCGAGACCTGAAGGGTGAGGAAGAGCCAGGCTCGGGACCTGCAGGTGCAAAGGCCTTGAAGTATGGAAATAAGTTTGGTGCATTAAGAGCAAAAAGCAGACCCGTGGGGTCCTCATAAACACTATCTGCTATTATTTTAGTCCCAGTCTAGCTTCTGGGTAGGGTTTAACTTCTCCCCTCACCCACGCTGCCTCTGCTCCCTACCAGGGCCCTTCCTCGATTCCAGAATGGGTGGGCTGCCAACCCACTGCTTATATGCCCAGCACCAGGATGGTGTCTCACCTCACTCAGCTTCTGAGAAGCACCTGCAAGTTTGCAATGGCTTCTTGTGATGGGAGCTTACTGCCTCCAGAGAACTGGGGGCTGGGGCGGGGGTGTGTGTGTGTGTGGGGGTGTGTGTGTGGAGTGATCAGAAACGAGGTCGGATCGGGTGTGTACCCCCCCTGGAGAGAGAGATGGCCCGGATCTGGGGAGGATCTCTGAGGAGTTGGTCTGGACAGTGGGTTTATGCGAAGAAGAGACACGGACAAGATTAAGACCCCGCGGGGCCCTGACTGCCAGGTGGAGGGGCTGGAAACTTGCCCCTGGGGGTACCGGGGAGCCGTAAGAGGATGGTGAGCGGGAGGGTCAGGGTCAGCTCTGGCCTGGAAACCGGGAAGGCCCCTTTGAGGCCACAGGGGGGATGGCGAGGAGGGAGAGAGTGGAGGCTGGTTTGGGGTCTCAGGGGAAGAGAACAAGGCCTGAACGGAGAGCAGGGGACGGAGCATGGTGAGCCAGACGGGAAGGATGGCGCGAGGGCGGGGGTGGGGTGAGGACCCACCAGAGAAGAGCTGTGCCGGCCCCTTCTCCACCCCCCAAGCTGGAGAAGGGAAACCTCCGCGTGAAGCAGCTGAAGCGGCAGCTGGAGGAGGCG